TGGATCTTGTCGGGTAGCCATTATTGGCGAGATCATATTGAAACTATTGGATGGAACAATTAAAACTCTTGGCCAGGTTTGACATGTTCCAGATTTGAAGAAAAATCTCATCTCGCTAAACACCCTTGAGTCAAAGGGTTATGAGTTCTCTAGAAGATATAAGGTTTTGAAGGTCTGGAAGGGTGTCTGTGTGGTACTGGAGGGTGCGAAAGAAGGCCCGATTGTACATCGTGTAATGTCACACAGAATTAGTAAAAAATCATTAGTACAGGTTTAATACCGTGGTGGATGTACAGTTTGGTATAGTACAGGTGGATCTCGTTGTGAAAGACCTATTACTGGATAATTCATGGGTAGAGCCAAAGAGTGTGGTGTGAACTATACAAGTTACCAATAACATTGATTAAACCTTTGGGAGTTGACTTTGAGTCATTATTGAAGAACACTACTCAGGAGAGATTGGAGGATATAAATAATTTCACTTTGTCGTCATTGTCTGCGGTGCTATCGTGTTCAATTGCTAGGGAATGACCCAATAAAGATAGATATGAGAATGTTGACCTAGTTTCATATGCTTTATGTGATTTTGAAGGTATCGAGACTAACAAGGGGCCTTCAGTTAAAGCATTTGAAGTTGATTCTTCTATAGGGCGTGCTTCGTCCTTGTTTGGTAAATCTTGAATTCCTTGTGGGAATTTCGGAGACCCGATGTTTGGGTTCAGGTATCATTTGTGGATATTTTGGAATAGGGAGAGTAATTTTTTTGTGTGATTGGAGAAAGTTTGGATTTGGTTGAAGAGTTCAGTCTATTTTGTTGCAAATAAACTTATTTTTTCAAGTGGAGAAATTTTTCGATCTTCGTTCGTTACACCGAAATTTGTGTCAAGATAGGATGCATTGCTTGTGACCAAAATTCTAGTTGGTATTGGAGTCATAGTTAAAGTGGTCATGGAGAGATCAAAATTATGGACCGGGAAGAAAAGTCGCTGAATTTTCGATAGCCTACCACTAGTTGGTCGCTCGAGCAACAGACAAATTTTTGGAAGCAAAGAACTGTTGCCTACTTGTCGCTGAACTCTCACTCGAGTGACAGTATTATCCGAGCAAAACCTGTTTTCGTGTTTTAACGCGTTTTGGACTCTTATTCATTTTCAACTTGGTTTCTAAGGTTTGGGACGCCCACTATAAATATTAGATTTTTCATTCAGTTTAGTCATTCCAGATATTGTTAATATTGTATTTTCTCTCTATTGGTTGTCAATTAATAAAATTACTCGATCAATCTGTCAATCTCTCTTCTTGCTTTAATCTTGTTCTCGCTTGTACGATCAATACTTCATATTGTGTCATACTTAACCTCCCCGTTTTCCCCACAATATGAATAATGAGTTCATGGAAACGGCTTCCTAATTTAATTTTCCTAATTTGTTCCCGACTCCAGTTTTTATTCATTCTAAATGTCAATATAATGGTAGTTATACATGAAGTGATAGCATGTAGTAGATGGACCTTGATACCCTCCTTCTGCGCGCATGGTATATAGATTAGATACCGAGTTGGATGAAATTTACTGCAATGTGCAATTCCATTTACCGGTCATCAATGGGATGTTTGACTCCCATTTTCTCCAAAATATATTTTTCCTCTCTACTTTTCAACCACGCATTTTTTGTTAAAATAATATTACATGCAAATAAAAAAATTTTTTTTTTTTTTAACCACACATTTTTCATCAATCTACTATTCCAAAATATATTCACTAAAAAAAATAGGGCTCAAACACACCTTGTTGGAAAAGTGTAAACTGTTGGAGGGACTAATGGTCTACGTTTTGTCAAGTTAAAACCCTGAAAACGTACATTTTATCCTTCGGACCCGGAAATTAGTTTCATTATAATGGATTCAAATTAGAAAGAAAATAATAAGTTTTATAAATGGTACCTGTTGGGACACGGAAAGTCCATTAGAAAGAAAATAATAAGTTTTATAAATGGTACCTGTTGGGACACGGAAACACAAGTCCTTTCCGTGTCCCCACAAAAGAAATTTCAGAATGATCAATGCTTGGAAATTACCTAACAATTGTGGAAAACTTTTTCATTGGTGATCTAGACTGCAACGATAGACTTTGAAAAATTGACTTGTCACCACCAATAATTGTACCAGTATGTTCAGTACGCAAATGATACTGATATTATAATAAATATAATTTAAATTTACTTTTTCTTCTTTACTATGTCAAGTACTAATTAATCTTTCAATTGAAACATAAAGTTCAAAAAATAATAAAAATAAAATTAAAAAAGGAATCAGCCAAAAAAAATTTACGGGCATTGGTTTATAGTTTATCAATCCAAGTGCCGGAATTGGGTCGATTTGCTTTGAATACTAATATAACAAAAGCTTAAGGCTTCAAGCTGAGCACATGATTTGTTAATTTCTTAAATACAGATTAAGAGTAAAATTGGGAAAAAAATCTCTAATAATATACTTTTTCATTCGAAATATAATAAAACATACAATACCATTCGTCCGAGTTTCAATGAAACCAAGCCTATTTGACAAGTTATTTTAAATTCCACCAATCAAATGTCCTAGACTCATGAAAAATAATAGACGCAAATATGAAATAATAAATAGTCTATTATTGCTATTGTTGTATATTTGTATAACAAATTCTATGCACTATTTCCTAGTGATAAATAATAAAAATTATGTTTTCAGTCAGAACAATTAATATGCAAAAATTGTTGATGTCAATTTGTGAATAAGAGAAAAAATATAATATATACACACACAAACACACACGTGCGTGTGTGTTGTTCATGATGATGATAATTTTAAAAAAATATTCTTTATTTAAAGGAATATTTAAATTTATAATGGTATTATATATATTTTTTCCGATATGTTATAAAGTAAATATTTGTTATCCATGTCATCCACTTTGTGTGTTAGTTTGTGTTATGATTATTGATGTAGTGAAGAATGATGGGACGGTTTGATAAGTTCAGTTGTTCGACTTGACTCGTTGAAGCTCGGCTCAAGGACGACTTGAGACGAGCTGGAGCAAGAGCCAAGCGGAGTGCTCGTTTGATGAGGGGAGTTGCTTGTCAAGCTTGGATTTAATTAATTAAAGAATATATAGGACTGAAATTGATATGATTATTCTATACTTCGGAGAGAGACCAATATTCAAAACAAGTAAAAGAGGAGAAGGACATGAGACTTTCAAATTGTAAGATAAATGAAAAGCTTACCCCACTCCAAACCCTAACCAGTCCCACCCTCGTTACGTGTTTTGAATTATAAAACGTGTGCGAATTTCCTACACCATACTATTCAGAGCCTGTTTGGGAGTGACTTTGAGAATTAATTTTTTGACCTTTAGGAGAAAAGTGGGGTCCACCTGTGAGAGAAGAAGTCAAATATGACGACTGGAATAGTAAAATAACGGTCAAAAAATCAATTTTTTGAGTGAAAAAATCGGGCCCAAACAGCCCCTCAATTGATATCCCACAAAAGGTTGAACCGTTTCAAACCCACTTAATTTAGATGCAGTTAAGCACTACCAAATAACATGTATACAACCTCTTATTTTCTTTGTAGTTTTAAGTAAAAATCCTGGTTATTTTAAAATGTACATTTTTAGTTCATCAACTTACAAAATGTAGACCATTAATCCCTCCACCAGTCTATGCTTTTCAAACCAACATAAATGATGACTAGGTAAATGAAATTGCACGTGGTAGTAAATTTCGTTCAACTCAGTATCTAAGCAATCTGGTTGGTTCCTGAACTGTATAGCGTGCACGCAAGAGGGTACCAAGGTTAGTCTTGTACATGATATTATTTTGACATTTAAAACGAACAGAAATTTGAGTTAGGAATTGGGATTTTAAAATAGCATTAAGGTTTATCAAACATATAAGGAAAATTAAATTAGAAAGTGATGAGTGCATTTTTGCTCATTCATCCATGATATTAACTGGATAAATAATTTCGAAATGAGTGAATTTCTATCTGATTTAGTGTAAAAATGGTTATGGTCGGTAAAAGTTGACTTGAAGGCTTTCGCAGTAGCAGAAGAAGAATTTTAGAGCTAATTTAAAGTTAGTTCGAAGCAATTAAATACTAACTAGATTGAAAGGAGCTGGTAAGAAGTATTAGAGGAGCAATCGGAAGAAAAATCTCAAGTTTCGAGAGTGAAATTCAACTTTTGAAAAGTTTGTGTACTGATTTTCACATTTTTGAAACTTGAGACGGACGAAACTCGAATGATTATGAAGATTCAATAACCAATATGAAAGCTTTTGAAGTGGCAGGCAGAATTAAGTATTCCTTTTAATGGTTTTTGATTTTATTGAATTGGATAAAATTATGAATTATTCTACTTGTATATATAATCTATACAGATAAAATGATGTTAATTTGTACACATTCATATATCAAACTACTTGCACAGATTTTCCGTGCAGGCAGAGTTCTAAAACTATTGAATTTTCTTCCACTTCTTCGATCATTTCTTGGCTTCTTCAAAATTAATAAGTTCGTAATTTTGTCTTCATCATTTTTTCTCATTTTCTACCTCAATTAGGTTGGTTGTGCGTATCTAAAGTCCTTTGCAAATTGGTAAACTATAAATATGAATTGAATGTTTGCCATGAAGTATCGAAATTGATTGAATAATAAAGTTGACAAGTTTTTAATCTATTTTTTCTCATTTAATACAACTTTTCCCCCCCTTTCAATTTACCTTAATTAAGGAAAAAAAAAATCATTAAATAAAATTGGCCCATTAATCAGATTGTGGTTCTTGTTCAAAGAAGAAAGTTCACATTGAAATGTCTTGTGACAATATTCTAGACGGACAGGGCCAAAATTTGTGGGTCAGGGAAAAAGATTTTTTGAAATGATATGGTGGGGATTGATGCGACGATTTTCCATATCAAATAATGTTTAAATTATTAGAATGGTATATATATACTTGTACTGAACTATAGCACCAAGTATTCTCTCCATATGTATATTGCAAACACTATATTAATGTATATAGCAACGAGTTCTGGGAAATGGCTTCATAATTTTATTTTCTTAATCTGTCTTATAAACCTTGTTGCTATTGTCAAATCCCAGTTCCCAACTCAAATTTTTATTTATTCTGATTGTCCGGACAATGTTGGCACTGGTATGTACACAAGAAATAGCACGTACGAAAGAAACCTTAAGACTTCTCTCTCCTCCGTTCCGCCAAATATCGACGCCAATGGATTCTACAACGCCTCTACGGGAGAAAATCCTGATACAGTCAACATCATTGCGCTCTGTAGAGCTGATCTTCAGCCTTCTCAGTGTCGAGATTATGTGGAAAATGCTACTGCCGAAATCTTACTGAGGTGTCCTTATAAAAAACAAGCAATCTTATGGCACGAATTTTGTATGGTACGATACTCCAACGAGGCTATCTTTGGAATTCTTGCAAATTCCCCAATGAGTTGGGGTCATAGTGGGGAAAATGTCACAAATACAGAAGTCTTTTACTGGCAGTTGAACGTCCTGTTGAACAGCCTTCACGACCATGCCGCTTTTAACAGCTCGCCGAAGAAGTTTGCTGCTTCCACTCGGACTGTGAATGATACGAATCATCCGTCAATTTCTGCATTTGAACAGTGCACACCTGATATAACCCCGGAAGAATGTGGTGATTGCTTAAACAAATCTGCCCAACAGATTCGAGAATGCTGTGAGGGTGCAAGAGGAGTTAGAGTCCTTACTCCTAGTTGCTATCTTCGTTTCGAAACTGATCCGGATCCATTCTACAACGCATCGATGGTTGAAGCAGTACCCCAGCCACCAACGCCACCAATGCCACCGCCACCGTCACCGCAGTCGCCGGGTAAGGACTTTGTCTACAGAACCCTTTTTTTTTTTTTTTTGCCACAGATATTTTCCGATTATAAGACCATTTGTCACGATGTTATTATCCTAATAATAAGTTGGCCCCAACCATTAGTAGTGGATGATTTCTGTAATTTTAGATTGATTAAGCTAATATAACAAACGATTGAGGACCAACTTCTTCAATTCTAAAGCTTGAGTTGCTTAATTAATGATTTTTAAGAATAAAGTCAATTATGTGTAAATTCATTATTAGTTTGGCAAATGAAAACAATCCATCATTTGAAAAGAATTTATGAACAGTTAACTTATAAATAAATATAAATTGGTGATGGATAATAGAATAATGCTTGTAGGTCATTTAAAATAAAGTTCGTTCATTTATAAATGACTAGTTTTCTAAAAGCGCTGGCATGTTTTATAAATTGGTAGTTTTGTAAATCATTTATAAATAAATTAGCCAAATGAACGCTTAATGACGGAGGTAGTTGATAATTTGTGTCCAAATTAAAATTAGATTTATTTAAACCATTTCAACATTGGTGTCTGTTTCTTGTTTATAAGCTATCTTAGAACCTAGATGAGGTTATTATTTCCATTAAAACAAAGATTAAATTAAAACTAGTATTAACACGATTTATTTTTGATTTTGCAGGAAAGGGGAAAAATACAACTCGAACTATCATTATTGTCATCGTTCCAATTGTTGTGTGTCTAATACTTGCTCTTTGCATTGGCATCTACTTAAAAATGAAAAAAAGGCGTAAACCATGGGAAAAAGTTGATCGTAAGTTTATGTTTCAAATTTTACGTAGATCCACATCTATTGATGATATCTTTTAATTACAATTTTCTTGAAATGTTACTTTATACTTTGATCAAGTTGACGAGGATATCAGTACTGTGGAATCCCTACAATATGACTTTGGTACGATAAGAGTTGCAACAAACAATTTCTCTGAAGCTAACAAGTTGGGGCAAGGTGGATTTGGTGTTGTTTACAAGGTTAAGTATTTAATTGAACTGTTAGGTGTCATACAGATTAACACTACTAGGAAGTTCATGTAATTTTCTCTTGTGATTTAATCTCAGGGAAGACTCCCAAATGAAAAAGATATCGCAGTAAAAAGGTTGTCCCATGACTCAGGGCAAGGTGACTTGGAATTTAAGAATGAGGTCTTGCTAGTAGCGAGACTTCAACACAGGAATCTGGTTAGGCTCTTGGGTTTCTCTGTTGAAGGAAATGAAAGACTACTTATATACGAATGGGTTCAAAATGGGAGTTTGGATCGCCTCATATTTGGTAAAATTTTATTATTATTTTTTTAAGTAAATCATATTTCAAAATTCTTAAAGCAATCGAGTTGCTCTGTATGGCTAATTAATTATAGCAGAATTATCATTATTGGAGCATAATTATCGTTACTGTAGATTCAAACAATCCATGTTTGGATTGGGAAAAGCGTTATATAATCATTGGCGGTGTTGCTAAGGGACTTCTTTATCTACATGAAGATTCTCGCCTCCGAATCATTCACCGAGATCTCAAAGCTAGCAATGTTTTGTTAGATGGAGAGATGAATCCCAAAATTTCAGACTTTGGCATGGCAAGATTATTTGTCCCGAACGAAACTCAGCACAGCACTAGCAGAATAGTAGGAACATAGTAAGCAGTTTACAAAATGCTTGTCTCATAGTATCACTTAGTTTATTTCTACGCAATGGTTGGTATGAAAAGAAAATATGAAGTTATACACAAACAAAACATATATGGTCATGATAATAACTAAACATAGCTAGATGATTATTTTATTAAACTCGTGGCTAATGATATACTTACAAATTGACCATCACAGTGGATACATGGCACCTGAGTATGCATTGCATGGACACTTCTCTGTTAAATCAGATGTCTATAGCTTTGGTGTCCTAATTTTGGAAATCATAAGTGGTCAGAAAACTTATAATTTTCAGAATGGGGAGAGTGGGGATGACCTCATAAGTTGTGTAAGTACAATTATGATAAAATTTGGTCTTAGTCAATATGAAGCCACCAAGTAATATATTTATTGTATTTAAACATTTCAATTTTCACAGGTTTGGAAAAATTGGCACCAAGAAACGGTTGCAAATATAATAGATCCTGCATTGAGGACTTCTTCAGGATCCATCCGTGATATTATGAGATGTATTCACATCGGTTTGCTATGTGTTCAAGAAAATGCTACCAATAGACCTACAATGGGATCAGTGGTTCTCATGCTCTCTAGCTTTTCCTTAACTCTGCCAGTACCTTCACAACCTGCATTTTACATGTTAGGTAGCTCTCGTTCGGAAATTTCAGTTCTTCATAAGACTCATTCATCCACAGATCAATCAGATAATACCACTCATTTATCAACAAATGAGGCCTCGATGAGTGAGTTATATCCTCGGTAACTTCGAAGAATATGCATGTCCATTATAACAAGACATTTTCTAGTTATGCATGTTCTTATTCAAATGTAAGATCTTGAAAGCAGATTTCTCTTTACTTGATTTTTATTGGTATGGTTTGTGGTAGTGATATTCCCCGCGTGAATAACACGATATCTACATACTATATGATTACTCCTATTTTTAAATATTCTCTCATAAGTTGATAGTTTAGCAATTGTTAGGCCATGTGAGTAATGTGTTTACTCTGCACAAATTTGTGTAGGCGATGATGCCTAGAATTTGAATGCCTATGACTTGAATATAACTGCAAACGATTTGAATTTATTTCAATATAAGATGTCAAGAGTGTCAATGATCTTACATTATAGTTTACAACAAGGGCCAGAAGAATATATTCATGTACCATATTGATATATTCTACTACCAAATTACTTTTTTGTTTCATGTCACTGTAAATGAATTTTATATTTACGTGTAGCATTATAGATTTTCCCCCACAGAGAAAACTGGCCAGTTTTGAAGAATGATTCACATTTTACTGATCTTTCGACATAAGGCAGACATTCGATTATTTGACTGAATTGAGAACTGAACAAGAAGTAAATATTGAATTCCAGCCTTCATATACAAATTTTTTAATGGCGATCATGGACTTGAGAATAATGAGAATAAACTGACTCTAAAATAAAATTTAAGGATGTGTAAAATGAACTTGGTAAATCAATATGGGTGTGGTTGGAAGGAGAAAATACCTCCCCTGTTTCGCCCCGTCTGTATGCATTCCGGTTCTAACCATAACCCTAAACTTTCAATCCATAAAAGTAGTGTGAAATCTTGAATTAGCCAAGTCAGTCAACCAATCAATCATGGAAAATTAGACAGATTTTTTAGTCAATCTAACTCCTTGAATCCTGGTAGGCAAACCTAAACGTAATTAACGGTTTGGTTGACCAAGTTATTCAGAAAAAATACAATTAGCATATTTTGACAACAGATCATAAATGTATGATTGATAAGTACATAAAAAGTTATGGGTTCAATGAAATATGTGATTAAAATTGAAATTTGACTGGTTGATTCTCATACTTGTACAAGGTATTCTAGATATGCAATAATTCTTAAAGGAAAGTAAAGATTATCGGACATTGATTCTCGTAAGACAAAAGTTTCTTAATATTAAGCATACCAATTCTTGTTCTGTTTTTTGTTCCTCTGAGTTCACCCTTCTTCAATTTGTTCTCTTGAAACTCAACTCATACTGTATACACGCTTTGTTGTATTCTCTCCGTATTAGAGATAGCACTGAATATAACTATGAGTTCTTGGAAATTACTTGCTTTCATTTTCCTCAACCTGACAAACCTTTTTAGTTCTGTTAAATCCCAGAATTATCCATGCGGAGAGAATGGTACTTTCACAGGTAATAGTACCTACAGCGGAAACCTGAATAGCCTCCTCTCCTCGGTCTCCTCTAATATTGATACCAATGGATTCTACAATGCCTCCATGGGAGAATATGCTGATAGAGTCCATGCCATTGCGCTCTGTAGAGGAGATGTTCAATTCGATATTTGTCGTAGTTGTATCTATAACGCCACACGCTCTATCTTACAATTGTGTCCTTATCAAAAACAGGCAACATTTCGAGATCCACGTAATTGGTGCATGCTACGTTATTCTAATGAGTACATATTCGGAAGACTTGTAACTTTCCCGGACTTCTACACGTGGAACACAAAAAATGTCACGAGTCCAGAGGAGTTCAACCGGGATTTGACGACATTGTTGAACAATCTACACAGCCAGGCAGCTTATGGTGGTTCCCTCAAGAAATTCGCTGCTGCGAATAGGACTGGACCAGATTCTTTGACAATTTATGGACTTATGCAGTGCACCCCAGATTTAGCCTCGGAGGATTGTAGAGATTGCCTGATTCAGGTTATCCAAGTTATACCACGGTGTTGTAATGGGAAACCAAGATTTGGTATCTTCACCCCCAGCTGCATTCTTCAATATGAAACCTATTCGTTTTGTAATGATACTCCTCAGCCAGCACCAGCATCAGCACCACCACCAGCCTTACCAGTACGGGAACCACCAATACTGGCACCACCAGGTGAGAAAATCCTTGACTTCTATTTTGGTTTGAGTATATATAAGACCTGCTATACTTCTGTATAAATATGCTGTGTGTGAGATCCGACAGGCAATCCATTTATTACTTTACCATTAATGGACCATCTACGGTGTTATCAAATGACATTAATGGCATGCTTGTAAGGTGGAGGGGACACTACTAGCAGGGAAAAAAAAAAAAAAAAAACCTTATACGGTGTTCATTTTGTGCTGCCCAATCCTGTCCAATGTTGTTTAATGTCAATGAGCTAAATTCATTTTATATTTTAACAGTGTTACTTTTAACATAAAACATTCTAAACAGTCAAATTAATTATACTATTAACATGGTTTTATTCTGGATTTTGTAGGAAATGATGCTAATAAAACTCGAACCATCATAATTAAGATTGTTCCAATTGTCGTGGGCCTAATACTTGCTCTTTGCATTGGCATCGTCCTAAGAATGAGACGGAAGAGTAAAACAAAAGAAATACATGAAAGTAAGTTTAATTTTCTTTAAATACCAGTTTTTTATGTATGTCAATCTCTATTTTCATGTTCTTGCATTGACAATTGTCTGAAACGTTGTTGAAGCTGACAATGAAAGTAGTACTGCTGAATCCTTCCAATATGACTTTAGTACAATTCGAGCTGCAACAAACAGTTTCTCTGATGCTAACAAGCTCGGGCAAGGTGGATTTGGTGTTGTTTACAAGGTAATTTTCAAAAATATGGCTGAAATAAAATAGAAACAGAACATGGATGAGTAACAAAGTAATTAACATGCTGGTTTAGACAACTGGCACAATCCAAAATATTGATTGATGGGGAGGACACTCAATTAATATTTATTTGTTCTATTTATTATCAGGGAAAACTTCCAAGCAGGGAAGAAATAGCTGTGAAAAGATTGTCAATGAATTCAGGGCAAGGTGACTTGGAATTCAAAAATGAGGTCTTGTTAATGGCAAGACTTCACCATAGGAATCTAGTTAGACTATTGGGATTCTCACTAGAGAGAAGCGAGAGGCTTCTTGTCTATGAATTTGTTGAGAATGGGAGCCTCGATTGTTTCATTTTCGGTAAAACTCTATCTGAAGTAAATCATAATTTTTACAAGAATCTTTTTGTGCCTGTGATTTCTATCCATGATAAATGTAATGGTCCGAATTTGATCTCTCACAATGTCATGTGACTAACTGGACTTGTAGATCCTATCAAGCGTCAATATTTGGATTGGGACACGCGCTACAAAATCATGGGGGGTGTTGCTAAGGGGCTTCTTTATCTGCATGATGAATCTCGACTACGAATCATTCACCGTGATCTCAAAGCAAGCAATGTCTTATTAGACAGCAAGATGAATCCCAAAATATCAGATTTTGGCATGGCAAGGTTAATTGTCCAAGATGAAACTCAAGGCAGTACCAGCAGGATTGTAGGAACCTAGTAAGCTTTATTCAAAACTATAGTGTCTCAAACTATTATTATATCATATTTTAACAAGTTGATATTATGCACAAAAAGAAATGAAGAAATGCTGGATAAAAATACACACGATCATTTTCACATTAAGGGGTTGTTCGACAAAGTTTTTGATAAAACTTTTAGTAGATTATGATATAAGTTGATGAAATGTCTAGTTATAAAGTTGATAAAAGTTGTGAATCTAATAAAATGTATAGTTAAAATTATTTGTTGATTTTGACCTCAACTTTTTAGCAACTTTTTATGCTATACTAAACAAGCACCCAATATATTTAGGTATTTATTAATGTGATGGGTCACTGATTACGTACTTGTAAATTAACCATTGCAGTGGATATATGGCACCCGAGTACGTAATTCACGGACAATTCTCTAGTAAATCTGATGTCTTCAGCTTTGGTGTCCTTGTTTTGGAAATTGTAAGTGGTAAGAAAGCCAATAGTTTCCAATCCGGGGAGAATATGGAGAACCTCTTAAGTTGTGTAAGTACAAATTAGTCTTTTTTGCCAAATTGCAGACACCCAGCGACTAATGATGAATATTGTAAACCTAAGGATTGTGTCAAATTCTCACAGGCTTGGAAAAATTGGCACAAAGGGACAACTGCACAAATAATAGATTCTGCACTAAGGACTTCTACTGGATCCTTGTGTGACATTATGCGATGCATTCATATTGGTTTGTTATGTGTTCAAGAGAAACCAGTTGATAGGCCTACCATGGCAAAAATAGTTCTCATGCTTACAAGCTTCTCTGTAACCCTGCCAATACCTTCACGGCCTGCATTTTTTTTGTCTAGTAGCTCCGATCCAGAAATTCCTCTTCTCCAGGAACAAAATTCAAGACCAATAGAGGTCGCAGAATCATCAAAGTATAGATCAGGTAATTCTACTGATGCATCTATAAATGATGTCTCAATGAGTGATTTGTATCCTCGGTGAGTTACAATAATAAGCATATTCATCATTACACTTCTTCTTGTTTCATGACTTGTATTGTTATGGCTTAGTGCTTCACAATTCAAAATATATATATATATATATATATATATATATATATATATATATTATTCATTTGTGAATAATAATAATTCCTATTCATAATTTACTATGCTCTGTTTCATCCCAATCTTAAAAAATTCACAATTTTTTAAAAAGATGAATATGAAATGTCCTAAAAAATAATTGCAGCTTAAGAGAGTAATAAAATAAGCACATTAGACGGACTCACTCCAGCAATGACTCTTGTCCTTGAGGTTAAAATTTAACAACAAAACAATATATGATTTCTCACTTTTACGAATTTCCAAAGTGGAGACCCATTTGGACCATCATCCCCTAATATTCTTTATAATAAAAATTCTTGAATACAATCAATTTTTTATATGGGTATATTTTCTTTCCCTTTAAAACTCGAATTTTATTATTTTCCATATAATTTTGGAAATTGGAAAGAGTTTGTTCTAAATACTATTTTTCTCTATTGTAACTTTTTGAAGATGGAGACAAAGAAGTTGATAAAGATGAGGTGGGAATAAAGGAATATATTTTTAGGAATAAGTCATTTGTACAATGGATTTGTACAACATGCTTGACAATGGTGTAGGTGTCATAAAAGTGTTGATGCGAAAGATGAAGTATTTTTTAGACTTTCCAATAATAACTTGCCACGTGACATGTTGTCAAATTTGTTGTACAACAAGTATGATTTATATTTTTAAGGAAAAATTTAACATCCAAATTGTGGAGTAAAAATTCAAAACCCTAAGGAGTGATAGTATATGAATAAATACAAAAAATATACTACAATACAAAAAAATTGTCAACATTTAGGGGCTGTCTGATAGCAATTAATTGCAAATTTTAAGCAAAAATTTTACCGTTGCTTGCCGTCATTGTGGACTTTCTTCTCCCAAAGACTTTCATATGTGACTCCCCGCCCCCCCTTAAAATCAGGCCCAGACAAGAACTTACAAATACAGAAGAACCATAAAACCAGAAAGTGAGAAGGATTTAAGAAAACATAAAATATGTTGATGAAATTAAAAATAAGAATTTTAGATCGTTAGCAGCGGAAAAATGTAGCACAAGTCAATTAAAGCAATGATTTTAAATCCCAGGATATAGGAGCCTCTTGGGTTCACGGTCGGAGGAAAGGAAAGACTTCCTATGTATGAAAGGTTTCAGAATCGGAGCCTGGACCATTTCATATATGGTAAGATTTGGCTATTTTATAAAGCAAATCATAAACCCAAATTCTTATAGCAATCTGGTTGCTCATATATGTCTGGCTAATTAATTTTAGCATATTTATCATTATTTGAGCAAAATTATCATTATTGTAGATCCAAACAATCCACGTATGGATTTGATAAGCCCTACATAATCAGTGGGGTCCTTCTAAGGGACTTCTTTATTTTCGTGAAGATTTTCGACTCCAGATCATTCACTAAAATCTCAAAGCTAGCAATGTTCCGTTAAATGGGGAGATAAACTCCAAAATTCAGATTTAGGTGTGGCAAGGTTATTTGTCCCCAAACAAAGCTCAGCACAATACTAGCAAAATCGTAGGAGCATAGCAAGTAGTTTACACAAGTGTATGTCTCAAAGTATCCTTAGCTTATTTTTACAAAGATGTTACGAAGCCTCCAAGGATGATATTTATTGCATTTAAATATTCATATTCTCACCAATTTAGAAAAATTGGCACCAAGGAATGGTTGCAAATATAATAGATCCTACATTGATGACTATTTCAGGATCCATTCGTGATATTATGAGATTCTTTTGCATCGGTTTGTTGTGTGTTCAAGAAAATGCAACTAATAGACCAACAATGGGATCAGTGGTTCTCACGCTCTCTAGTTTCTCCTTAACTCTGCCAGTTCACAACCTGCATTTTCCATTTCCGGTAGCTTTTGTCTAGAAATTTCAATTCTTCATGAAAATCACTCATCCATAGATAAGTTAGATGATTTTACTGAATTATCAACAAATGAGGTCTCAATGAGAGAGTTATATCCACGATAACTTCTAAGAATATGCATATTCAATGTAACAAGACATTTTTCTACTTGTGTTCTTGTTGGAATATAATTACCTTGTAAGAAGTTTTATTGTTTTTACTTGATTTGTGGAAAGCTTTAATACCATTGAAAATGTTTGATACCGCTTGAAAGCTTAGATTTAGCCAATTTATTTTGACCCAACGTACAGAATTATACAATTAAAAGCAACAAATCATTTTTGAATTATTTCTAAATGATTAATCAATCACGTCAGACTATCCTATAGTTTGAATGCCATAATCAATAATATGAAAGTAATAAAGAATGCAAAATATGTTGACGAAGAAAACCTAAGTAAAAGCTCCAGGACTAAGCCAATAACTTCAACTATAGACAATATGAATTTACAGGATGATCCAGCCTAGAAAACCTACTAGACTTGTTGATTTAATTCCTGCAATCTCCCAAACCCGTTGAAACGTGCTTCACTCACACCTGTTCCCAATCTTTTAGAAATGTCTATCTCATATAGATCACCAATAACACCTTATTCTTGTATTCTTCACGTGCTTCTGGTCCAACCTCTCTCAATCTTCAGTAACATCTGAAAGCCATCGAAAAAGTACCTTCCTGTATGTGTATATGAAGTGTATATTTTGGATTACGTAAATTTGATATTTTTTCAAAGTTGTGATTGAATGATCTCAAGAATCAAGGGATTAATCTCAATATTTGAATGTATCTTGGATCTTGAAATGATGTTATGAAGAAATAATATAATGAATAACAACGCTTAAAAATATGTTAAGACTTGGGTATATATAGTAAAAGGTATTTAGGTAGCATGGATCAGATAAAACTCTTGAAAAACACAAAGTAGGGTTTTATGTGTAACACCATTGTTCGTCACAGGCTAACAACAAGCAAATGACTGGTTTATCGTTCGAGCGAGAGGTGGGCGATAGACAAGCGACAATGTTTCTGTTTTTTTGTTCAAGCATTAGATAGGCGATAGGCTAGTGTAAATTCGATGACTCTTTCCTCATTGTTCCAAACTCAAACCCTAAGATACCTAGTTCATCTATTCAATATTCCAATTGAGTCACTGTCTAAAAAATTGTCAATACAATTAAATCCTAACAAACTCCCCATTTGACTTTCTTTGATAAGACTATAGAATACAAGTCAAGGAAGTGAAAACAAAAACTAATCCACCCAAGCTCAAATTGAATAACTGTTTCTTGCATTCTTTGTTAAATCTATTTCCTGAAATCAACAACTCAAATACCAAGTGTAAAAGCGCGTGATACCGAGAATATAACTATTGAAACACATTATCATAAATATGCTAGCTAGATTGAGAAATAATACTAATGTTAATTAAAACACCATCTGAAACATTAATATCACAAAACATCAAAACTAAAAAAAAATATGCATTATGATATGGACTTGAAAAGCTCTTATACAATTTGAAAGTTTAGATTTAGCCAATTTATATTTGACACAACGTGTGAAATTATATAACTAAAAGCAATAAGTCAATTTGAATTGTTTCTAGATGGTTAATCAATTATATCAGATTATCCTATGGTTTGAATGTCATAATCAATAATATGAAAGCAATAAACAATACAAAATATGTTGACAAAGAAAATCCAAATGGGTAAAAACTCTGGGGCCAAGTTAGTAACCTCTATTGTAGACAATATGAACTTACAGTATGATCCAGTCGAAAAAACCTACTAGACTCACTGATCTAATTCCTGCAATCTTCAAGACTAGTAGGAAAATGGTTTACTCGTACCTGTTCTCGATCTTCTGCAATTATTTATCTCTTGTTTCCAATAACATCTTGTCTTGTACCATTCCCGTGCTTCTGGTCCAACCTCCTTCAATCTCTAGTAACCTCTAAAAGCTATTGAGAAAGTACCATTCTGTATGTGTTAGGAAGTGGGTATTTTGGATTAGGCGAATTTGACATTTTCCCAAAGTTGTGGTTGAATAATCCAAAGAATCAAAGGATTAATCTCAATGCTTGAATGTGTTCTTAGATCTTGGAAGGAAGTTATGAAGAAGTAATATGATGAACAACCACAAACAAAATGTATTAGGGCTTGGGTACTTATAATAGGAGGTAATTAGGTAGTATAGACCAGATCATTAGGTAGTAACTAGGGTTTCACACATAACATCATCGTTTGAGCTCTAGGCTACAATAGGCGAGCGACTGTTGAGCAGTTGTCAATATTTTCATCATAATCTTCTCTCTCGATATCCGATTGAGGTGATTCAAAATGCGTTGGAAAATTAATTCAAAGGGCTACAATTCTTCCAAACATCTTATCCAAATTTCAATGTTTTCTATGTGAAACATGCATTGCAAATTATGACTAAGAATTTGGAATATAATTTGTGCGGCTCTTTGACACTCTTTAGACTTCTAATTGCATTCCCTTGATTACATGTGATCTTCTTGGACATCTTGGATTCTTTCAAGAACTATATTACCAATCCAAACATTTTTTATTTTAATTACGACTAACCAGGACTCAATAACTCGTATTTTAGCTTTGATCAAAAGTGGATAAATTCCTAACACAATTTAATTAGGACTTGATTTTGTCTATAGAATTGCCAATACAGCATAAAACCTAACAATCTCTCCCTTTGGCATTTTGTGACAAAACTATACAACACAAGTTAAGGAAGTAAAATAAAAAATTGTTCTTCCCAACCCCAAACTGAATCACTGTATCTTACATCCTTTGTTAACCTGTTTCTTGAAATCAACAACTTACATACCAAGTATAAAAGCATGTAATACAGAAAATATAACAATTGAAACCTACTATCATAAATATGCTAGCTAGATTGCTAATAATACTAATGTTAATCAAAACACTAACTGAAACATTAATATCACCAAACATCAAAACTCAAAGAAGTTATGCACTATGATATAGAATGCTATGAATG